GATAACTGATTCCCAGTATCAACTGATCATTATTGTCATCTGATTGATCTGTAGTCAGCTGAAATCTGTTTCCATGGATCAGCTGATTAATTGATTTGAATTATATTGCTTAATTGGTTGAGAACTGTTTCCCAGAATCAATCAATTAAATTGTTGATTGAAATTGAAATTTATTGATGGCGTGCCATTATGGTCTATTGGCAGATCGGCCGCCATATCTATTCAATAAAGCTGTGACCATAAATCCAAATTAAGATTCTTTGTTATATGTGCATCTATTGATAACACGTTCAAAAACCTTGCCAACAGTAGACAAAAGAGAAATTGGTCGGTAATTTGAAGGAGAATGTCTATCATTTTTTTTGAATAATGGCATAACTTCTGCAAATTTCCACAATTTAGGATAAACAGCAGAGAGTAAAATATTAAATAGTAACTCAAGAGGTTTACAAATAGTGTGGTAAACATTCAGTATTTGTAGGACATCATTAATTTCATTGTAATTTAATTTAATTGAATCAAACGTTTTATTGGTTTTCGGCGCAATATCCGGAACCTGAACATAACGCTCATCAATACGAGTTGCATGTATACTACAGAAATATTCATTTAATAAGTTGGATTTACCTTCATCACTACTAATTACATTTTCAGTTACTGGATCTATGGTAGAGCATTTACATTATCTCCATGGATCAGTTCATACTCAGATGGACTAAATTTCGTATCAATTGTTCTCTTTCGGCGTTCGGACACTGGAGTATGAATATATGACATAGTGGTCAATATAATACGACAGCGTTACAGGTTGTCAATAGTGGAATGTACTCGCGTGTATAGTTCAAAGCAACAGGTGTATGAGTGACAGGTAATCGTCAGGTAAGATACTCACTCAACCATAACAAACAAATATTTCTCTGTTAATGTTTTTACATACATAGTTTCGACCAGAACAAAATTTCCAACGATAAAACGACAGTTATGCAAAGTAGACCAGCAGACCTTTCATCTCACCAAATCCAAAGTCTGTTTAACACATAAAAAGTGGTCAAACCCAACACAATCTTCTGATCAAAGGTATCAGCCGCCTGTCCTTGTCGCATTTTTTCGTCATAATGTCGACATTCTAGAATTAAAAGGTCGTAATTGACACTAACGACCTTTTTCACATTATTTTCATTTATCGAATAAATTATTGATAACGCACCTTTTCGGAAAATATCTTAGTTGTTGGTGTATTGTGTTGTTGGTGTATTATTTAAAAAGTAATTTAAACAAAACAAGGTTGTAACTTCTATGTAACTAACCATGCTGGTTTTTTTCAGAAATGAAAGTTCGTAAGTAACCGATTACCAGTATCAAAACGTCATACGTGACACTTCCGACCTTACCATTCCAATAACTAATGGAAACTATGCAGAAATAGCACATCGTGAATGTGACTTGCGACCTTTTCACGACGTTTAAACGATAGTTCCGGCATACGTTTTATAGTATATAGTGAATGCGATTAAGTTGGTATTTTCCTATCTTAAGTATGCTCATGCCAATAGATTTGCGCATATGGTCCGTTGAATCCTCAACCTTGAATTAGAATCCCTGATGTAAAAATAATGGGGCACATGCATTCCTGTTGTTAGAACGCTGCTCAAACCTGTTGTACAACAAGTGATGTATTACAAGCTATAAAAGGGACAAATTCAAATTGAATACGAGAATAGCAAATACATGTTGATCTTTAAAAAAAGCCGTGAAGGTTCGGGGACAGAACCTGCCCGCTGTAGCCCACTGCATGATCGTAAGAGGAGACTAATGTGGGATCACTGCAGAATCGGCGGATATTGTAGAAATAAAAAAATAGACCTGCTGTATTCCGCTGCATGTGAATCGTAAAAGGCGACTAATGTGGGGGAGGGGGCTGCAGAATCGGGTTTTCTTCCGTGTCTTCTACGGAGGGGACATGGAAGGGACCAACATTTATCTGTAGCCATCATTCCAACACTTCCGATCTTTTTCGTTTCCAATCTTCCCTGTCTTTCTTCCTTTCTATCTACTTAATATTTCTGTAGGTGTCTCCCAAGACACCCGTCCTCTTATATAACCATGGCTGCTGCGAGGACGTTAAACCACAAACAAACAAACCATTAATATAATCATGAAAGCAACGAGCATACAGAAATCTGTATTGTTTTTTTCCTGATTGACTGTGTTAATCCGTTTATATATTATTTATATGCGACGGAAACATATCAGCGAAGCGCTGCTGGATTTGATTAGTAAACACTCTGTCCACTTCCGGTGTTTCCCCATGCCTGAAAGCCTTCTGGAAAATTGAGGCCACATACGACCTACAAACAATAAAAATTAGCCATTTCGTTTTCCGTTTTACCGGTGAAATATAAGGGATTATTCACTTGATAAAAAGTATCATTATTGCAGTGGAGATATAAGACGATGTGAAGATATCACCTTTAGTATAATGTCAATCAGGACGGCACTTTCTATTCACTACGTAGATTTTCAGTTTGAAGTTCAGATGATCCGACAGTAGAATAAGCATTTGTTTTTATGCGCATCTGTAACATAAATTATATTATTTACATAACTACACAATTGCTACTTTTTAGCTCTGATTTGTACGGAGCCCCCGAAGGGACATGGTAAAACATTTACTAAACCGTGCGCACGGATTAACAAACCGTACGCACGGATTACCAAACCGTGCACACGGATTGACAAACCGTGCGCACAGATTACTAAACCGTGCGCACGGATTACCAAACCGTGCACCCGGATTACCAAACCGTGCACACGGATTAACAAACCGTGCACACGGATTACGAAGCCGTGCGCACGGATTACCAAACCGTGCACACGGATTACCAAACCGTGCACACGGATTAACAAACCGTGCGCACGGATTACAAAACCGTGCGCACGGATTGACAAACCATGCACACGAATTGACAAACCGTGCGCACGGATTGACAAACCGTGCACACGGATTAAAAAACCGTGCACACGGATTGCCAAACCGTGTGCACGGATTGCCAATCCGTGTGCACGGTTTGGTAATCCGTGCGCACGGTTTAGTAATCTGTGCGCACGGTTTGTCAATCCGTGTGCACGGTTTGGTAATCCGTGCGCACGGTTTGTTAATCCGTGCGCACGGGTTAGTAAATGTTTTACCATGTCCCTTCGGGGGCTCCGTAGATTTGTCATAAAATTCGCCAAATATTAAAAGGTCTTAAGACCGTTTTGTTTTATCTATTTCCCAGCTTTAAAAATACAAATTTGAAGTAATCCTAGCTGATATAACAAATTGGTTTAATTATAACAGACACCTTATTGAAATTTGGCCAAATCAATTGACTAATTGACCCTCTTTCCGTATACCAAACAGAAGGAACGCATTCGTTTTCTTATTATGAGAGGGTTCTTTTCAAAAAGAAGGGCAAACAGCTATATAAATACAAGGTTGTAAATAATTTTTGATCACATTTGGTGAAAAGCAACACAAAGGTTAAAAAAATGATTGAGTCATCCTGGTTGAGTTCTTTATAAAGTCCGGTAGCAAGACTTTCCATTAGTTAGCTGACTGTAGACATTCCTATGAGAAGAAACTGTGCCGACTTTTTCGGTTTCATACGAGGCTTAATTTATTTGATAAGCATTCAGGACAAAAAATAAACACAGCCAATTGCAAGTCTTTCAATTTAATATTCAAATATATCAACAATATGCTGTCTTTAAATAACACTTTTATTCACCGCGTCAATCTTATATACTGTACCTTCCTGAGCTTGAAATTAAGGACAGTACAGGCTACCTCAGTCACTTTCCTCGATCTTTACTCAAAACAAAATGAAAAGAGATTCTTAAAAGTACGCTTCGATTTTCCGATGTTATTTGTATTACACGTATGATGTTTTATGATGTTATTTTGATGTTCCGATTGTGATCTGTCTCTTTCTTGATAGTAACATCCATACATCCTATGTTGCCGTTGTATCCATCTGTATTCAAGAGTTTGTTGCAAATAGCATGACTCCATAACTTGAAGTCTTTAAAATCATGATAACCTAGATGTAGACTGCTGACCGACAAAGTTACAATACAGGGGTTACAAAGATGTAGCTTAATAAAGGCTATTGGCAAGTTTGTGTGATATGGAGGTCGATGTTGATTATGCTCATCAGTGTCGTTTTGTTGTCACGAACCCAGTTATCGCTTTGTGGACGTAGCATATCTTGGATTTGACCTTTATTTTATACGGAAGATACTGAACCTTCCGGAACACCTGGTCTTATTTTCATTCTATTTTCGCAAGTGTCTCCATGCCAATTTCAATTTTTGTCATCGTTTTTCGATTTTGAGTTCTCACTTTGTTTATGCTTTGGTGTTTTCTTTTTGTTATTTCAAGAACCTCTCTCTCATCAATAAGAATTTAACTTAAGTTTATAGATTTTTGGATAAAAATGAGAGATTATTCTTCAATAAAATCATTTCATAAATATTGTCGTCAGCGGATAATAATTTATTATTTAATGTATATTTAATCATAAAACGCACTGGTACACTTTTAATTGATCTTATTAAACTTAAAAACTGCTGTCGTTGAACTGGAAAAAATAGCATATTTTTCAGCAAATTGGTCGAGTGCCTTAACAAAATTTATATCCCAGCCACGCCCCTTGCCATACACGTACGTACAACTATATGGTTTTCAACGGGGAATCATTACAAATCTATAGCTATCGACACTGCACTGTAAGTCTGCATATATTCATGATGAATATACTAACACTTATACCAGTTTTGTTCGCTGATGAGTAAATGCTCTAGGTATGTGTGTCTATATCACCTATGTAATAGTGATATAACGGGCTCCGTTATTGATTAGTATACACTATGACTTTGATTCATGTAATAGGTTGAGCAGTAGCCCTCGCCGATGTGTCTCTGTCGTTTGATGAACACATACAATGGAATAGCCACTCCTTCCAGTCACAAACAGCTAACTCACCGAGCCCGAGATTTATGAGTACATCAGTGCCTATGTTGACAGTTAGGACCCTGTAAGTCGTACTTTTGAAGACCTATCTTGGCAGCTAAATTGTAACCTACTGGGGTGAGAAAACAGGTAAGAACACACGTTTTATTGCTGTTAAGTGCATTTTGAGTGTAATTGCTTTGTGGAGGTTCATTTGTACCAAGCATCAGCATGACAAAATAACCGTATTGGTGATTTTTTTTTTACATCTAATGTCTATGTCTTTGATTATTTTATGTTCTTAGCAAAATATATCCATAAAAATGTAAGTGTAAAAAACATTTTTGTGGAAAGGCGATGATGTGAAGGATGTTTTGGAAACAACGTTATAAAATGCGTGTGACTTACATCGATCTGAGGTTGATATGGTCCTAAAATACACCAATGTATTTTGTCCTGCCAAGTTCATAACAAAAAGATGCCGCAGGCATATCCATGGATGTATAGTACGCTTATAGAAAGGCGCTATTGTAGACACGTTTGTATAACGCTTCAGGCAATGTGTGTTAGAAACAATTGTGACATGTGATGTATCAACACCGGAACTCCAATTGATCTTATGGATTGCGACCGGAAGAGCGTACACACTAAAACAAAAGATAAGACGTGAACCCCAACTATAAAGGTATAGCATGAACTTCAAAACTAAAAATAAGTCTATAATATGAATGTTTCAAACTTTTGGTTTGGTTTGGTTTATTAGTGTTTTACGTCTTATTAACAGCTGTGGTCATTTAAGAACGTGTCATGCTTTGGTGGTGGAGGAAAGCCGGAGTTCCCAGGGAAAAAACCCACCGACCTACGGCCAGTACCTGGCGACTGCCCCACTTGCACGTAGATCTCGAACCCGCGACCCAGTAGTAAACCTCTTTATGACACCTCTCTATTTCATATGCATAATCAAATTTTCATTCCGATATTATCATTAAAAACCCTAAAAAAAACTGTAATGAAGATGCAATTGATCTGAATATACTTAAAGTTGACATGCACCGTCAGTTGAAAAAAAATCAATTGAGATATGAAAAAAACAGTTTGATATTTTTCTTGTTTTGAGATCTGCCCCATCTCTTCCGACTTTCGTTTCTTAGGAAGTGCCGACATTTTAGTTTGTCCGTGCTTGTTCATTGGTGACACTACTATATTATATGAATAGAACACTTTCACGAATTTTTATACATTTTTTAACAGATCAGTTGAATAAAATTAAAATGATTGAAATGAAACACGTCAACAATATCATTTATCTAAGAAAAGTGGAAATAATAGTAAAATACGACCATTTAAAATACCTAATGCATAATCCCAAAGAGAACGTGCTACACGTAACAACCCGCTTGGCAGTGTTTCATAGTCTCCAGGTGGGTGCGTTTGATTTTTGGTATCGGTTGCCGATTAGGGTGTGCGGTTTATTACATATAGTAGTGTCACCTTCCGAACACGTTGAACAAATGATAACCGGTTTGACAGGTAATGCGCTTTTTATACCAAGCGAGACCCATTCTCGTTACCAAGTAAGGACAAACAAAAATGTCGGCACTTCCTTAGAAACGATAGTCGGAACAGATGGTGAAGATCTCAAAACCAGAAAAAAATAATCTCAATTGAAAGCTTTTTAACTTGCACTGTCGGCTTTAAAGTAGCCTCCTCCAACCCTTCGCACATAAAATTAAAAATTAAAAAAAACCTTCCAGATCTACCTTAATTTTTCAGTCTTGCTACCTAAAACAAACATATTGTTTCAGACTTTTAACGTCGAGTCACGTGACTGTCTCTACACGACCTGTTTTGTTTCATCACGGTTGGGGAGGATCACCAAGAGACAAAAGACATCCATTGTATAAAAGCATGATTTGTTGACACAGTAAATTCTTTCAATGAATTAGCTTCAACTATTTAATCTGACTTTAACTCTCACTTACCCGATCAGAGTATCATTAAACTTTTCAGACAGTTATCAGATAGCCACAGAAGACCGTTGGCAAAGTTTTCGTAACACCGAGCACTTCATATGACACCTTAAAACACCGATTCGTAACAGTTAGGCATTTAAAACATTTTAATATTTTTAAATAACTACTGAAGCTCGTTTCAATGCAACTACCAAATGGTACCTGCTACCAGATTAACACTGCTTGTGTGTATGAATACATCTTTTCCGATTTTGCGAAGGGAAACTAGTATTAGAATTGGAGTACAACTTGTAAACAAAGAAGATACCACTGGTATTATATTTCACATTTTTATAGAAGCTACACAAGGAATTGTCCAAGTGACTAAAAAGGATCATTCAGTAAAACAGTATCAGCTGTTGCTAGCGGAAGTGACAATTCATGCACTGCCGTATAAATTCTCCCTCTAGCTATCATATATGCCTCTTGTGTCAGTGTCACCACCCAAACTACCTTATCAGATCGTTTCTTCCTTTCAAACCACGTCTGGTTTCCTATCTAACTCGTCATTAAATAACTGCAGCTTAACATAGCCACTCTCCACTTCCTGCTACCGAAAAGATGGCTTCCGTAGACTGGCGGCTGCGCCTGCGCACCGCGTCTATAATAATAATAATAAACTTTATTTATTGAAGATAAAATACATGTTTAGTCTATACATTATTCTTCCGAGATTATACGTCAATGAATTTTATAATAAAACTTATAAATTCATCAACAAAACTTAAACATGACATTGAAAATATGTTTTTGTGTTTTATTTCTTCATAACTTGACTGTTTTGAACAGCTTGCGTACACCACCATGTTGTAAGATGGTCCTTCAATGACGGACAATTTTTCTTTACATGACGTCAATACGTAGACTTGCGACTTGCACAAGCTCCAAAATCTGGGTCAAACTATCAGTATTGAGAAAAAACTTGAAACAAATTTAATGAACTGCTATGAATTGAGTTGGTCTTGAAACAAATTTAAAAGGAACTGCTTAAATTTGTTTCAGACTAACTAACTTCATTACCCCTTGAATTCGTCCAGAGCAAGATTCAATCCTTTAGTGTAATGAAACGAGAGTTTCGTTAGAAAGAATAATTTTGTAATGCATATCATCAAAGTACTAAATTAATCTAGTTCTTCCTGTTCACGATTCCTCCTGGGTTTGTATGAATGGAAGTCAAGGTATGTTGTCAGTTAGACAATAAACGCAGGCGCCACGGTATTTTGTTGAAATTAAGTGACTCTTCAAATGACAGTGCAACATTCTTGAACATATCATCACAGTTATTATGCTTAGCATAATAAAAATATATCGCTCCGGAAAACGTTTATAGGTTAAGGGTAATTGGATGATTGTCATTTGAATTTTGCTGATGTTCTGATGAAGATGAATAAACCGATTGCATTTAAGTATTTGTGATGTTCATTGCTGGCGGAAAGAAGGAGTATTGGTATAAAGATGTCAGATATCCGGGCTAGGGTTATAGAAAACTTTAACTCCGAGTCCTTGTCATAAATTATGAACTATAAAAACAATTCTGTTTGGTGTTTTCATTATGCTATGAATAATTTAAACAGCATAAGCTGTTGATCAGGAGTATATTTTATGAAGTGTGTATAATCCCAGGCTATTAATATAGCACTGGATAACGAGGTTCCATATCACATATGTATCTTGATCAAAGTATTGAGGATGTTGACCTTTAACAGGTATGCTGACTATGTAATTCTGTTTCTGGACAAACATGGGTAAAGGTGGTTTTTATGTCCTCAAGCTATTGATAATACACTATACTTCACAATTACTGGAGTGAAACTCTTCTGTTACCTCACCTGGACGCAATTCAATTAGACAAACATTAGCGGAGTGGAATTTACGTATGTTGTTTCTAAAGTTGAAAAAGAGAAGCGGTCCTAGAGACTGATTCTTATGGTATTTCCGATGTGACTGGTCACGTGATAACAGCGCTGACTTTCAAGAAGTACCTATTTACCGGGAAACACCGTATCTATACAAAGATGGTTCATCTGATGCCTAAGTGGTGGACTTTGTGCAGGAAGTCAGATGTGGGACTTCGTCAAGGAGCTCTGAGGCGAGACTTTGTACAGGAAGTCAGATGTGGGACTTCGTCAAGGAGCTCTGAGGCGAGACTTTAATTTGTAAAGGATCTCTGACTTGGACTTTGTCTCAGACCTATTATATGGGACTTTGCCAATGGGCTCTTATTCGGACTTTGTCTTAAATCTCTGCTGTGGGACTTTGTCAATGAGCTCTTATTCGGACTTTGTCTTAAATCTCTGCTGTGGGACTTTGTCAAGGAGCTCTTATTCGGACTTTGTCTTAAATCTCTTCTGTAGGACTGTGTGAAGAAGGTCTGATTCGGACTTTGTCTAAGATCTCTTATTTGGGACTTTGTCAAGGAGCTCTGATTCGGACTTTGTCTAAGGCATCTTATGTGGGAATTAAATTTGTCGAGGATCTCTGGTTTGGATTCGTCCTAGGCATCCGATGTGGATTTCAATTGGTCAAGGACCTCTGATTCGGACTTTTTCTAATGCATCTGATGTGGGACTTTACTTTGTCAAGTAGCTCTGATTCGGACTTTGTCTAAGGCATCTGATGTGGGACTTTACTTTGTCAAGTTGCTCTGATTCGGACTTTGTCTAAGGCATCTGATGTGGGTCCTTGATTTGTCAAGGAGCTCTGATTCGGACCTTGTCTAAGTCATCTGATGTGGGTCTTTGATTTGTCAAGGAGCTCTGATTCGGACCTTGTCTGAGGTATCTTCTGTGGGAATTAAATTTGTCGAGGGTTTCTGGTTTGGATTCGTCCTAGGCATCCGATGTGGATTTCAATTGGTCAAGGACCTCTGATTCGGACTTTTTCTAATGCATCTGATGTTGGACTTTACTTTGTCAAGTAGCTCTGATTCGGACTTTGTCTAAGGCATCTGATGTGGGTCCTTAATTTGTCAAGGAGCTCTGATTCGGACCTTGTCTAAGGCATCTGATGTGGGTCTTTGATTTGTCAAGGAACTCTGATTCGGACCTTGTCTGAGCTATCTTATGTGGGAATTAAATTTGTCGAGGATCTCTGGGTTGGATTCGTCCTAGGCCTCCGATGTGGATTTCAATTGGTCAAGGCCCTCTGATTCGGACTTTTTCTAATGCATCTGATGTTGGACTTTACTTTGTCAAGTAGCTCTGATTCGGACCTTGTCTAAGGCATCTGATGTGGGGCTTTGATTTGTCAAGGAGCTCTGATTCGGACCTTGTCTGAGGTATCTGATGTGGGTATTTGATTTGTCAAGGAGCTCTGATTCGGACTTTGCCTAAGGTATCTGATGTGGGTCTTTGATTTGTCAAGGAGCTCCGATTCGGACCTTGTCTAAGGCATCTGATGTGGGTCTTTGGTTTGTCAAGGAGCTCTGATTCGGACTTTGTCTAAGGCATCTGATGTGGGTATTTGATTTGTCAAGTAGCTCTGATTCGGACTTTGTCTAAGGCATCTGATGTGCGTCTTTGGTTTGTCAAGGAGCTCTGAATCGGACTTTGTCTAAGGCATCTGATGTGGGTCTTTGTTTTGTCAAGGAAGGAGCTCTGATTCGGACTTTCTCTAAGGCATCTGATGTGGGTCTTTGGTTTGTCAAGGAGCTCTGATTCGGACTTTGTCTAAGGCATCTGATGTGGGTCTTTGATTTGTCAAGGAGCTCTGATTCGGACTTTGTCTAAGGCATCTGATGTGGGACTTTGATTTGTCAAGGAGCTCTGATTAGGACTTTGTCTAAGGCACTGATGTGGGTCTTTGATTTGTCAAGGAGCTCTGAATCGGACTTTATCTAAGGCATCTGATGTGGATTTTAATTTGTCAAGGAGCTCTGATTCGGACTTCAGGTTTTGAATCGTCATCTTATATCAGATTTCCGTGGTAAGTGCAAGATGTAATCTTCCCTCACATATGCTGATTGTTGGAATGTAGTTTATGACTTTTCTCAAGTCGTATGCAAAGGATCCAGTGTCGATGGATCTTAGGATATCAATACAGCTTGATCAAGATGGAATGAGAGTTCCTCTTCACATAGGTCAACAGCATCACGTTCTTAGCTAAATTGGTAAAATTAAATTAAATTTACTAAAACAAATGAGAAAATGTTGGTGCTATCTCTGAATAGCAGATGTACATCAGAGGCAATAACTTGGCTTTCTTAATAACCTATGATTATATTTCTACCAAACTTCACCATTTTACTCGGTAATGTATTTACTTTCAAAAAGTTACGTTACTTTAACATGTTAAAGAGTTTAGGTTTCCTTTAAAGACTAGCACAACTTAATAAGCCAATCAGCAAATGTTTCATACGATTGTAATCCCTACCTAAATTTTGTTCCGGTAAAATACAGTGCCGCCGAGTAATTCAAATAGGCCATTGTTGACATTTTTTACATTGAATGAAATCTACAGATATTGAACATCAGAAAATTGTATAGCTTTTTCCTTCAAGTTAATATCGGAAAGTTAACATCTAGTTAGTACTAACTGCATGATATATAAACTGAAAAAGGTCACGAAAGTAAAACCACTTCGTATACGTACAGAGAAACATATCTACGTATTTCTTCTCTTTATAGGCTCTCCGGGGAGGACATGAAGGGTACTGTCTGGAAGAGGCAGATCATCTGCTTGTGTGTTTTAGCCGTGTGTGCGTTATTGGTATTTTATAATCGATCCTCTTCTAATACCCGTAAACTGATCAACAGGATACCTAGCATCTCCCCCATCAGTCAGCCCCGCAAAGCCACATCACCGCCACACGCTGTAAGTATCCATGTTACTCAATACATAACGGGCTATACAAACCATGAACTCTCCAGTATGTGTTTTTTTGGGAAAAACCGTCATCATCTGAATTAAACTGTTCATTGAGACTTTGAGGACATTGGGGAAAAGGTTATGACAAAATATACAAAAAATCATCTTTTTTCCACGTGAAGATGGGGTTCTGTAATGTTACATATAAATGAAAAATGTTTCGTTGATACACTTTTGTTTCTTCTAATTATCTCTATTTTCTTAAACAGCCTAGTTCTTAAACTTAATCATAATATTTTCCTTGATAAAAACATTCATATTCTAAACAAATCATCAAGTAAAAAGTAAATTTGAAAAAAAAAAAGAAAAATGTCGAGAGCAAACTGAAAATGAAAGTAGATTTCTTAAAACTATAGTAACAATAATAATACAATACAGTACTTTAACATTGGAAGTAGCGATGACGTCATTGTCATAATTATACCTACAGTAAAATATGCCGAACGCTAATTTAATACATGTGTATGATTGTTTGATGAGAAATGTTGGATACTGTCGTGACTATGGAACATTTCAGGATATAATAAATGGCCCGTTAGTAATGTCTAGAACTGACAGCTATTTCTGAGTAATTAAATGAAATCTTATGTGCCAAGGAACATTAACATCCTAATTCAGTTATATTTGGATATGTAGAAATGTAGAACCGAACATAGCGAATGTGTCCCGTTGTGTTTGACATGAGTATGACCGTTTAAACGCTGAATAGAAAGTGTATAGTAGAATGATGTTTCAAAAAGATGAATAATTGACATTGTGACATTGTGATATTGAAATGTATCAAATGAATATGTACAGTTTACACCTAGCCATTGCTAGAAGAAAAATAAATTAAATTAAGGAGTTGTATTGTTATTTTTTTTATTATTTTTTTCAATTACATAATTACACACCTTAATGGGGCCCTGAAAAGTATATAAGATGTTCTTTAAAATGAGTAATACATGTCTCCAGGACGTCTCTCTATATCTAAAACCCCTGGTGATTTCTTATAATCAAACTTGGGAAATGTTTTTCTTACAATTAGAAAAAAGAAGAATAAATTTTCCCACACTATTTCTGCCACTGTACACTAGTCGAACAGTCACGCGAATTATGGTTTATACGAAGTTTTATAAAAACTATTGCAATATCTCGTAATTGCTTTCCTCTTAGGCTTGATGATAACTTTCATTGACGTAGTTCTCTTTTTGGACAGCTGTTTATTCCTGACCCTGAAATCCTACAAGAGATGAGCAGAGATGAATTGTACAGTTTACAGCAAAGGTAAATATGTTTATCATCTTCACAGTCGTAACACAGATTTTGTTTCTCCAATTATACGAAGTTTGCCCCTAATATTAACAAAAATATCGTAAGCATTTCCACATTTGTGTGTTAAATTTTATGGTAATTTTACCGTTATATTATTCTTTGAACGTTGGCCACAGTTTTTATCATGATATATGCTGTTGAGATGTTTTTGATTTATAGAATGTTGTTAAGACTTGTTCTTTTTGTAGTAATATCATGTTGTTGAGATATATTTCTTTCTTATAGTATTTTATCGTCCGTAAGGATCAATTTACTGCTGTTCTAATATATCTCCTATATATGTACGTTATTGTCTGTGTGCACGTGTAATACCTCTGACTACTAGAGATATACTGTGGTTACCTATCGCTTGCTTCTAACCCATATAGTGATTACGTAACTTCATACTTCACACTGCTTTTCGTATGTCGTTTCCGTCTTTAATTACTAAGTCTGTTTTTAATCTGCATATTTTATCCTCTAGTTAAAACGATCTTCGGTTATCAAACAGCAACACAAGAGAAAAAAAGTAACATATACTGGCATATCTTTTCAAAGTATGGCATTTGCCAGCTTACAGTGTTTGACAGGTGCCTGTTTCTAATGATTGAATTAGCATGATAATGTCATTTGTAAAATGGATAATTCATCTCCAGAATTATTTTTAATGTAAGTTAAATCGTTCCGATTTCAGGTACATGACCAATCTACAAATACGTTGTCCCAGGAAAACAGTCTATGGTGGGGTAGGAAAAGGATGGTATACTTGTGACCTATACAGAGGTGACAACGCCCAGCGCTGTGATGCCTACCTGTTGACGTAAGAGGGATTTTGTTCTGACAGTTGTTGTTACCTATTACGTTAGCCCTTATTACATCATTAAAATCATACAAGGTTAGACGGTGGCGAAATCAGTGAAAGATGAAAGTGCCACGAAAGAAAAAAGTAGCAGATTATTTGAAATCAGAAAAAGTGATAGATATCTCACTTAGTAGTATTGTTGTTTGTGTAATGTCAGGTGTAAACAGAGAGAGAGGGCACACAAAGGGGATGTCTTAAGTCTGCATTACCATCATAGAACAATGTCCTTTCCACACTTTGAGGTTTCATTCTTACATCAGTATACACATTGCTTGTTCTGTTTAGAGTGTATTTTTTAAATTATTTTCTGATAAAGTTTTATGTGATTGTCCCATTCACATTGTGATGAACATTTTTGCTGCCTTAAACGAAATCTATGTATATTAGCTACTGCATATCCTATACAATATATGTAACCCCAAGTTTTAGTTTTAAACAGTTGATGTATATTAACAATCCATTCTTTTTTATAAAGAGTTCTTATAAATACATGATATTCATTGTTAAAAACCTTTGTGATCATAACACGACAAGTTTGAAATATGAATTTAGCGGTTGTACATGATTGTAAGTTGCTTAAATACCAATTGTGTTTTCCACTGTAAATAGGGACGTTCTAAGTAAAGAGGGCGAAATGTTCTTCGATGAAATACAGGTTGATCATGGATGTAAGAAGCATGTGATCCTGACCACGTAAGTATACACACTTGGGACAAATAAAACACTACATAGAGTAGTAAGGGGTAGGTTTCTTCTGTGTCTTATCTACTTTGTGCATTTTCAACATTCCTGAACTATTTCAGCAGTATTTTGCATTCTATACACAGTTTTATACGATAACTATTCTATATCGTGCTTTTAATAATGCCGTGCATGTGAGACCAACAGCGAGGAAAATCACTTGCAAGTCTTACTGGTCAGCATAAAAATAGTAGCTGGTCAGAATTAGTGACTGGTTCGTATAACTGGTTAGCGTTAGTGGCTGGTAGATCTTACAGGTCATCCTTAGTGACTTGCAAAGTCTTACTGGTCAGGATAAGTGACTTGCGAGTCTTACTGGTCAGGATAAGTGACTGGCAAGTCTTACTGGTCAGGATAAGTAACTGGCAAGTCTTATTGGTCAGGATAAGTGACTTGCAAGTCTTACTGGTCAGGAGAAGTGAGTTGCAAGTCTTACTGGTCAGGATAAGTGACTTGCAAGTCTTACTGGTCAGGATAAGTAACTTGCAAGTCTTACTGGTCAGGATAAGTAACTTGATAGTCTTACTGGTCAGGATAAGTAACTTGATAGCCCTACTGGTCAGGATAAGTAACTTGATAGTGTTACTGGTGAGGATAAGTGACTGGAAAGTCTTACTGGTCATGATTAATGACTGGCAAGTCTTACTGGTCAGAATAAGTGAATTGCAAGTCTTACTGGTCAGGATAAATGACTGACAAGTCTTACTGGTCAGGATAAGGGACTGGCAAGTCTTACTGGTAAGGATAGGTGAGTGGTAAGTCTTACTGGTCAGGACTAGTGAGTTGCACGTCTTACTGATCAGGATAAGTGACTTGCGAGTCTCACTGATCAGGATAAGGGACTTGCGAGTCTTATTGGTCAGGATAAGTGAATTGCAAGTCTTACTGGTCAGGATAAATGACTGACAAGTCTTACTGGTCAGGATAAGGAACTGGCAAGTCTTACTGGTAAGGATAGGTGAGTGGCAAGTCTTACTGGTCAGGACTAGTGAGTTGCGCGTCTTACTGATCAGGATAAGTGACTTGCGAGTCTCACTGATCAGGATAAGGGACTTGCGAGTCTTATTGGTCAGGATAAGTGAATTGCAAGTCTTACTGGTCAGGATAAATGACTGACAAGTCTTACTGGTCAGGATAAGGGACTGGCAAGTCTTACTGGTCAGGATAAGTGAATAGCAAGTCTTACTGGTGAGGATAAGTGAGTTGCACGCTTTACTGGTCAGCAGAAGTGAGTTGCAAGTCTTACTTGTCAGGATAAGTAACTTGACAGTCTTACTGGTCAGGATAAATGACTGGCAAGTCTTACTTGTCAGAATAAGTGAATTGCAAGTCTTACTGGTGAGGATAAATGACTGACAAGTCTTACTGGTCAGGATAAGGAACTGGCAAGTCTTACTGGTAAGGATAGGTGAGTGGTAAGTCTTACTGGTCAGGATAAGTGAGTTGCACGTCTTACTGATAAGGATAAGTAACTTGATAGTCTAACTGGTAAGGATAAGTGAGTTGTAAGTATTACTGGTCAGGATAAGTAACTTGATAGTCTTACTGGTCAGGATAAGGGTCAGGATAAGTGACTTGATAGTCTTACTGGTCAAGATAAATGACTTGAAAGTTTACTGGTCAGGATAAGTAACTGGCAAGTCTTACTGGTCATGATAAATGACTTGCAAAGTCTTACTGGTCAGGATAAGTAACTTGCAAGTCTTACTGGTCAGGATAAGTAACTGGCAAGTCTTACTGGTCAGGAGAAGTAACTGGCAAGTCTTACTGGTCAGTATAAATGACTTGCAAGTCTTACTGGTCAGGATATGTGAATTGCAAGTCTTGCTGGTCCGGATAAATGACTGGCAAGTCTTACTGGTCAGGATAAGTGAATAGCAAGTCTTACTGGTGAGGATAAGTGAGTTGCAAGTCTTACTGGTCAGGAGAAGTGAGTTGCAAGTCTTACTTGTCAGGATAAGTAACTTGACAGTCTTACTGGTCAGGATAAATCACTGGCAAGTCTTACTGGTCAGGATAAGTGACTAGCAAGTCTAACTGGTCAGAATAAATGACTGGCAAATCTTACTGGTCAGAATAAGTGAATTGCGAGTCTTACTGGGAAGGATAAGTGACATGAAAGTCTTACTGGTGAGGATAAGTGACTGGAAAGTCTTACTGGTGAGGATAAATGACTGGCAAGTCTTACTGGTCAGTATAAATGACTTGCGAGTCTTACTGGTAAGGATAAGTGAGTTGCAAGTCTTACTGGCCAGGATAAGTGAGTTGCAAGTCTTACTTGTCAGGATAAGTAACTTGACAGTCTTACTGGTCAGGATAAATCACTGGCAAGTCTTACTGGTCAGGATAAGTGACTAGCAAGTCTAACTGGTCAGAATAAATGACTGGCAAGTCTTACTGGTCAGAATAAGTGAATTGCAAGTCTTACTGGTCAGGATAAATGACTGGCAAGTCTTACTAGTCAGAATAAGGGACTGGCAAGTCTTACTGGTCAGGATAAGTGACTGGCAAGTCTTACTGGTCAGGATAAGGGACTGGCATGTCTTACTGGTACGGATAGGTGAGTTGTAAGTCTTACTGGTCAGGATAAGTGAATTGCAAGTCTTACTGGTCAGGATAAGCGACTGGCAAGTCTAACTGGTCAGGATAAGTGAGTTGCACGTCTTACTGGTCAGGATAAGTAACTTGATAGTCTTACTGGTCAGGATAAGTGAGTTGTAAGTATTACTGGTCAGGATAAGTAACTTGATAGTCTTACTGGTCAGGATAAGTGAGTTGTAAGTATTACTGGTCAGGATAAGTAACTTGATAGTCTTACTGGTCAGGATAAGTGAGTTGTAAGTATTACTGGTCAGGATAAGTAACTTGATAGTCTTACTGGTCAGGATAAGTGAGTTGTAAGTATTACTGGTCAGGATAAGTAACTTGATAGTCTTACTGGTCAGGATAAGTGAGTTGTAAGTATTACTGGTCAGGATAAGTAACTTGATAGTCTTACTGGTCAGGATAAGTGAGTTGTAAGTATTACTGGTCAGGATAAGTAACTTGATAGTCTTACTGGTCAGGATAAGTGACTGGAAACTCTTACTGGTCAGGAAAAGTGACTGGAAAGTCTTACTGGTCAGGATAAATGACTGGCAAGTCTTACTGGTCAGGATATGTGAATTGCAAGTCTTGCTGGTCCGGATAAATGACAGGCAAGTCTTACTGGTCAGGATAAGTGAATAGCAAGTCTTACTGGTGAGGATAAGTGAGTTGCAAGTATTACTGGGAAGGATAAGTGACTGGAAAGTATTACTGGTCAGTATAAATGACTTGCGAGTCTTACTGGTAAGGATAAGTGAGTTGCAAGTCTTACTGGCCAGGATAAGTGAGTTGCAAGTCTTACTTGTCAGGATAAGTAACTTGACAGTCTTACTGGTCAGGATAAATGACTGGCAAGTCTTACTGGTCAGGATAAGTGACTGGCAAGTCTAACTGGTCAGAATAAATGACTGGCAAGTCTTACTGGTCAGAATAAGTGAATTGCAAGTCTTACTGGTCAGGATAAGTGACTTGCAAGTCTTACTGGTCAGGATAAGTGACTTGATAGTCTTACTGGTCAAGATAAATGACTTGCAAAGTCTTACTGGTCAGGATAAGTAACTTGCAAGTCTTACTGGTCAGGATAAGTAACTGGCAAGTCTTACTGGTCATGATAAATGACTTGCAAAGTCTTACTGGTCAGGATAAGTAACTTGCAAGTCTTACTGGTCAGGATAAGTAACTGGCAAGTCTTACTGGTCATGATAAATGACTTGCAAAGTCTTACTGGTCAGGATAAGTAACTTGCAAGTCTTACTGGTCAGGATAAGTAACTGGCAAGTCTTACTGGTCAGGAGAAGTAACTGGCAAGTCTTATTGGTCAGGATAAATGACTTGCAAGTCTTACTGGTCAGGAGAAGCGACTGGCAAGTCTAACTGGTGAGGATAAGCGACTTGAAAGTCTTACTGGTCAGGATAAGTGACTGGCAAGTCTTACTGGTCATGATAAATGACTTGCGAATCTTACTGGTCAGAATAAGTGAATTGCAAGTCTTACTGGTAAGGATAGGTGAGTGGTAAGTCTTACTGGTCAGGATAAGTGACTGGCAAGTCTTACTGGTCCGGATAAGGGACTGGCATGTCTTACTCGTACGGATAGGTGAGTTGTGGTCAGGATAAGTAACTGGCAAGTCTTATTGGTCAGGATAAGTGACTTGCAAGTCTTACTGGTTATGATAAATGACTTGCGAATCTTACTGGTCAGAATAAGTGAATTGCAAGTCTACTGGTCAGGATAAGTGACTGGCAACTCTTACTGGTCAGAAAAAGTGACTGGAAAGTCTTACTGGTCAGGAGAATAAGTGACTGGAAAGTCTTACTGGTGAGGATAAATGACTGGCAAGTCTTACTAGTCAGAATAAGTAAATTGCAAGTCTTACTGGTCAGGATAAGTAACTTGCAAGTCTTACTGGTCAGGTTAGGATAAATGACTGGCAAGTCTTACTGGGAGGGATAAGTGACATGAAAGTCTTACTGGTGAGGATAAGTGAGTTGCAAGTATGACTGGGAAGGATAAGTGACTGGAAAGTATTACTGGTCAGAATAAGTGAATTGCAAGTCTACTGGTCAGGATAAGTGACTGGCAACTCTTACTGGTCAGAAAAAGTGACTGGAAAGTCTTACTGGTCAGGACAAGTGACTGGTAAGTCTTACTGGTAAGGATAAGAGAGTTGCAAGTCTTACTTGTCAGGATAAGTGAATAGCAAGTCTAACTGGTGAGGATAAGTGAGTTGCAAGTATGACTGGGAAGGATAAGTGACTGGAAAGTATTACTGGTCAGAATAAGTGAATTGCGAGTCTTACTGGTCAGGATAAATGACGGTCAAGGCTTACTGGTCAGGATAAGTGACTGGAAAGTCTTACTGGTCAGGACAAGTGACTGGTAAGTCTTACTGGTAAGGATAAGAGAGTTGCAAGTCTTACTTGTCAGGATCAGTAACTTGATAGTCTTACTGGTCAGGACAAGTGACTGGAAAGTCTTACTGGTCAGGACAAGTGACTGGAAAGTCTTACTGGTCAGGAGAATAAGTGACTGGAAAGTCTTACTGGTGAGGATAAATGACTGGCAAGTCTTACTGGGAGGGATAAGTGACATGAAAGTCTTACTGGTGAGGATAAGTGACTGGAAAGTCTTACTGGTCAGGACAAGTGACTGGAAAGTCTTACTGGTCAGGACAAGTGACTGGTAAGTCTTACTGGTAAGGATAAGAGAGTTGCAAGTCTTACTTGTCAGGATCAGTAACTTGATAGTCTTACTGGTCAGGATAAATGACTTGCGAATCTTACTGGTCAGAATAAGCGAATTGCAAGTCTTACTGGTAAGGATAGGTGGGTGGTAAGTCTTACTGGTCAGGATAAGTGACTGGAACGTCTAACTGGTCAGGATAAGTAACTTGATAGTCTCACTGATCACGATAAGTAACTTGATAGTCTTACTGGTCAGGATAAGTGACTGGCAACTCTTACTGGTCAGAAAAAGTGACTGGAAAGTCTTACTGGTCAGGATAAATGACTTGCGAATCTTACTGGTCAGAATAAGCGAATTGCAAGTCTTACTGGTAAGGATAGGTGGGTGGTAAGTCTTACTGGTCAGGATAAGTGAATAGCAAGTCTAACTGGTGAGGATAAGTGAGTTGCAAGTATTACTGGCCAGGATAAGTGAGTTGCAAGTCTTACTGGTCAGGAGAAGGGAGTTGCAAGTCTTACTGGTCAGGAGAAGCGACTGGCAAGTCTAACTGGTGAGGATAAGCGACTTGAAAGTCTTACTGATCAGGATAAGTGACTGGCAAGTCTAACTGAGTTGCAAGTCTTACTTGTCAGGATAAGTGAATAGCAAGTCTAACTGGTGAGGATAAGTGAGTTGCAAGTATTACTGGGAAGGATAAGTGACTGGAAAGTATTACTGGTCAGAATAAGTGAATTGCGAGTCTTACTGGTCAGGATAAATGACGGGCAAGTCTTACTGGTCAGGATAAGGGACTGGCATGTCTTACTCGTACGGATAGGTGAGTTGTAAGTCTTACTAGTCAGAATAAGTGAATTGCAAATCTTACTGGTCAGGATAAATGACTGGCAAGTCTTACTGGTACGGATAAGTGAGTTGCACATCTTACTGGTCAGGATAAGTAACTTTATAGTCTAACTGGTCAGGATAAGTAACTTGATAGTCTTACTGGTCAGGACAAGTGACTGGAAAGTCTTACTGGTCAGGATAAGTGACTGGAAAGTCTAACTGGTCAGGATAAGTGACTTGAAAGTCTTACTGGTCAGGATAAGTAACTTGATAGTCTTACTGATCAGGATAAGTAACTTGATAGTCTTACTGGTCAGGATAAGTGACTGGAAAGTCTAACTGGTCAGGATAAGTAACTTGATAGTCTTACTGGTCAGGATAAATGACTGGCAACTCTTACTTGTCAGAATAAGTGACTTGAAAGTCTTACTGATCAGGATAAGTGACTGGCAAGTCTTACTGGCCAGGAGAAGTGAGTTGCAAGTCTTACTGGTCAGGATAAGTAACTTGCTACTCTTACTGGTCAGGATAAGTGACTGGCAAGTCTAACTGGTCAGGATAAATGACTGGCAAGTCTTACTGGTCAGAATAAGTGAATTGCAAGTCTTACTGGTCAGGATAAATGACTGGCAAGTCTTACTAGTCAGAATAAGTAAATTGCAAGTCTTACTGGTCAGGATAAATGACGGGCAAGTCTTACTGGTCAGGATAAGTGACTGGCAAGTCTTACTGGTCAGGAGAAGTGAGTTGCAAGTCTTACTGGTAAGGATAAGTAACTTGCTACTCTTACTGGTCAGGATAAGTGACTGGCAAGTCTTACTGGTCAGGATAAGTGACTGGCAAGTCTTACTGGTCAGGAGAAGTGACTGGAAAGTCTTACTGGTCAGGAGAAGTGACTGGTAAGTCTTACTGGTAAGGATAAGTGAGTTGCAAGTCTTACTTGTCAGGATCAGTAACTTGATAGTCTTACTGGTCAGGATAAATGACTGGCAAGTCTTACTGGTCAGGATAAGTGACTGGTAAGTCTTACTGGTCAGGATAAGTGACTTGAAAGTCTTACTGGTCAGCATAAGTGACTGGAAAGTCTTACTGGTCAGAATAAGTGCGGTGCAAGTCTTACTGGTCAGCATTAGTGACCGGCATGTCTTAATGATCAGAATAAGTGCTTGGTACGTCATACTGGTCAGCAATATTTGCTGGTAGGTTTTACTATTCGGGATTATGGGCAGGTAAGTTTCACTATTCGGGATTATTGGCAGGTAGGTTTCACTATTCGGGTTTATTGGTAGGTAGGGCTTTCAAGTCAAGATTGATGTAAGCTTGATATTGTCTGATTATACTATTTAGTATTGTCAGTTCTATTCGATACCCTGGTATTTTGCAATATTAAGAGTATATCGCTATCAGAAGAAAATACAACTTAAACACCAAATATTTTTTGCAGCGACACTGAATCAAAATTAACCAGATATTTGAAGGACGTCCTAAAACAACCTAAGGAAGATACCAATTATAGGGTAAAGTCCATCGTTATCAACATATTTTACTAAATATGTAGTTAAAACAATAATAACTTGAAATAAAAAGTCACTCCATTAGGTTTTAATTATACAAATGCTTACAACGGAATCCATTAACATTTACGTCAGTAGAAAGCTATCTACAGAAGAGCAGTTGCCTCTATACTAGCGTTGTTGTTCGCAATATGGGTTCCTTTTTCTCAAATGAAAACCTAACCGGAGTAGGTTTTTCTATCAAACTTTGAATTTCGTTTTGTTTGTCTTCACCAAATATGAGTCCTATGAAAATCCTATGAGATGAAATGATCATACAGCACACTAAATTGTATACTTTGTAAAGCTTTCTGCATTGCTGGTATTTATTTTGTAACTACCTATTTCCACTAAAAAGCGATTGATTGCTTTTAAAGAAAACTTTTCATGCAATAAATATATTCTTACAACAGGAAAAATATTTTATGGCTGTTTCAACGTCCACACACGAGGACTTCTTGTTAGACTGGCTGCTACAAAACAAGCTGTTGACGGATGTCCAGCAGTTGTTTGTTACATTCCACGGGATAGACGCCCAGAGTAGCACGTCAGCCTACATACACCACCTCTCAGTCCTCAAAGCATTGTATGAGGAAGGCTTTCGGTCCTTCCACTACCTCTTCAATCCCATATATTATTATAATCATTCAATGCGAATGTGGACTACGAAAGGCCGATACACACTCTATATGGTAAGTTACTTTTATACTAGTTAAAACACGTCATATGGTGAATTATTATAATCATGATCAAAAGCCTCGATATGAAGAGCTATAACTCTACGCAATTATGGACTTTTGTGATGGTGACTACGGTGTGATATGAACGTGAATACGATGGGATATGAACGTGAATACGATGGGATATGAACGTGAATACGATGGGATATGAACGTGAATACGGTGTGATATGAACGTTAATACGGTTGGATATGAACGTGAATACGGTGTGATATGAACGTGAATACGGTGTGATATGAACGTGAATACGATGTGATATGAACGTGAATACGGTGGGATATGAACGTGAATACGATGGTATATGAACGTGAATACGGTGTGATATGAACGTGAATACGGTGGGATATGAACGTGAATACGGTGGGATATGAACGTGAATACGTTATGCTGACTGAGGCGAAGCCAACTATTTAATAGACATGTAAGTTGAAGTTCAGATTACTTCTATGCGTGTCCTGTTCAATGTTCTTAAATGTTAATAACTAACATCTTGAGGCAAGAAATCAATTTAAAAGGGACTGCAATCTTTTATGAACAAACATGTCAAGACAAACGTTTTCTTGGTAGTCATAATGTAAGGAAATGATTACAAAATAAACAGTACAATCTGGTATTAAGTTAAATCATGTAAAAAAGTCATATCAAAGTTTTACTTTCTACACAAACAATGTACGTTTTAAACGTGTCGCAACGTTTCAAGACCGACTGGTCCCTTTGTCAAGCTATGGCTGAGTCAAAGACAACGGGACCAGTCAGTCTTCGACACGTTAAATGCGAACATTGTTTGTGCAGAAAGTGAAACTTCGATATTACATATTTCCAAACTGGTGAATCATACTTAAGATATGTAAATAAGTTAGTACACGTATACATAAGTATACGTAATATAGACTTTTTCGCACATACGTGCTACATTTGTGTATGAAGTCCAAATAAGATAAAGTTTAACACATAATGGGGCTAAATCTATTACCTACCATTTTTACATCTCGAAATCAGAAATGGATGGATATTTCACCTTTATATACTTATATTCTTTTAGTTGTTATACATATTTTTGTATTTTCTTTTTATTTAAGGATTAACTTGAATATATTTTTTATGTTATGTTACAAAAAACGGAGTGTACTCTAAATAAACCATAATATAAAAAATATACTCAAGTTAATCCTTATAATTTGATCTACTATACACAATCCCTGTGGAAATCAACTTTTATTGATGGACTCTTTTCTGTTCGAAATTATTACGCCGCTGCATCAGCCAATCAAAAGCGACGTTACAAACGGCGATGTCATTTTTTACGTTATGGGATGATAACATAATTTTTTAGGCCAATACAAAGGTTTGTTACAAGCAAGATTAAATTATATCTTAATATTTAGTGTTACACGAATAAAGATACAACTCTGGCACATTTCTGAAGTACAATGTACATGTATATCATATCATTAAATGTATAACGTATGTTACCCTCATCTAGCTTCACGTCACTAGTGTGTTTATTAAGTTAGCCGTTTAGATCGAGACTCCGCTTCAATCTGGTGCAACAAATGTGATTAAAATCAGTTGAAATAAATTGTTTCATGATTATTGCGAAAAAATAAGGCCAATAAGTCAGATCAAGAACAGGTATTACTCACTCGCACATATCTATTCAAAACATGTCCACGTCATCCTATCGGTTTTCAGCTATCACGATGGATTTGAATTATGATTCTGTCTGTTCATGTTGATACTGGTATATATAAGTTTTTACTCAAAAATGGCACTGTCCTCTTCACTTCAGATGCGCGCCCTACCAGTCTCACCCCCTATTGTTATACCGCCTACAGCGGATATAAAGAGGATGTCTTTACCAAAACTGGGACTCCTTTACCATTCGTAAGTACCTAACATGTGATATACCACACCGACATATCACTCCTTTACCATTCGTAAGTGCCCCACATGCGGTATACCACACCGACAAGTCAATCCTTTACCATTCGTTAATACTAAACATGTGATATACCACACCGACATATCCCTCCTTTACCATTCGAAGTACCAAACACGTGCTATAACACACAGACATATCACTCCTTTCCCATTCGTAAGTGCCACACATGCGGTATAACACACCGACAAGTCACTAATTATCATTCGTAAGTACCAAACATGCGGTATACTACACCGACATATCACTCCCATGCCATTCGTTAATACCAAACATGTACTATAACATACAGACATATCACTCCCATACTATTAGTTAATACCAAACATGTGCTATAACACACAGACATATCGCTCCCATACTATTCGTTAATACCAAACAGGTGCTATAACACACAGACATATCACTCGTTTACCATTCGTAAGTGCCACACATGCGGTATAACACACCGACAAGTCACTAATTATCATTCGTAAGTACCAACCATGCGGTATCCTACACCGACATATCCCACCCATCCCATTCGTTAATACCAAACATGTACTATAACACACAGACATATCACTCCTTTACCATTCGAAAGTGCCACACATGCGGTATAACACACCGACAAGTCACAAATTATCATTCGTAAGTACCAAACATGCGGTATACTACACCGACATATCACTCCCATGCCATTCGTTAATACCAAACATGTACTATAACATACAGACATATCACTCCCATACTATTAGTTAATACCAAACATGTGCTATAACCCACAGACATATCACTCCTTTACCATTCGAAGTACCAACCATGTGCTATAACACACAGACATATAACTCCTTTACCATTCGTAAGTGCCACACATGCGGTATAACACAGCGACAAGTCACTACTTTACCATTCGTAAGTACCAAACATGTGGTATACTACACCGACATATCACCCCTTTACCATTCGTAAGTACCAAACATGTGATATAACACACCAACATATCACTCTTTTACCATTCGTAAGTTCCAAACATGTGATATACCACACCGACATATCACTCCTTTACAATTCGTAAGTACCTAACATGTGGTATAACACACCAACATATCACTCCTTTACCATTCGTAAGTACCAAACATGTGATATACCACACCGACATATCACTCCTTTACCATTCTAAGTGCCACACATGCGGTATAACACAGCGACAAGTCACTACTTTACCATTCGTAAGTACCAAACATGTGGTATACTACACCGACATATCACTCCTTTTTTTGAGATTTTAGAGTTTTTGAAAACGTCTGTTTCCTTTGTCGAGTAAAGAGTGTAAATACCTTATGTCTCCACTCTTAACTTCTGAAAACAACTAACCAAGCCATATTGGGCCGAATCAGTCAGCAGCATAAATCATAGAGATATTTCGCCCGATTGCACTCTAATACTGCAGGTAGTCAGGGGGACGGTCACATGTTGACCCATTCCTCCCCTGAGTGGATGTTAAATTGGAGTCATAAAGATGACGAAGCTGGTGGCCCCTTCGTCTCTGTTCATCGAATACCCTTTTCTCGTAACCCAAATGGAGTCTTTGATTTTCCTGACTTTCAAATTGTCCTCCCTTTCAAGCACTTTCGAGTTGTTCCAGTCTATGATGTGATTGCATGTGTTAGCATGGTCATGATGGCCGATTTAGCGTGTTGTATCTCCGATGCCTTCCTTGTATTTCTATTGTAGACCTACTTTTTCATGGCTTCAACGTCTTTCTGATGTTCTTTTAGGAGTGTCCCAAATATCCGGCCAGTTTTCCCGATGTATGTAAAGTTGCAGCTATTACATTGAATTTGGTAAACCACCCCTGTATTTCCACTTTCGAGAATTTGTCTGTCGGGTGAACTAATAGTTGTTTGATGGTGTTGTGTTGTATTCTCCCTTAACCCAGATGGATTCTTTTGTTTTCCCGACTTTCCAGTTGCCCGCCCTTTCAAGCACTTTCGAGTTGTTCCAGTCTATGATGTGATTGCATGTGTTTGCATGGTCTGTAATGGCTGATTTAGTGTGTTGTATCTCCGATGTTTTCCTTGTATTTCTATTTCTATCATGGCTTCAACGTCTTTCTGATGTTCTTATAGACATGTCCCAAATTTCCGGCCAGTTTCCCCTTTGTATGTAAGGTTGCAGCTGTTACATGGAATCTGGTAAACCATCCCTGTTTTGTCTTCCTTCGGCAATTTGTCATTCGGATGAACTAATGAATGCTTGATGGTATTGTGTAGTCATATGGGCATGCTGATGTAATGTTTGCGTAACACTGTGTTTCAGACACGTGATGTTAACGTGTAGAATCCTTCTTTTCGGAGCATCCTTGGGCAAAGGCAACTCAACCATATGTATATATTTTCGGAGGTAGACTGCCCCAGGAAAAATAGGTAAAAATAGTTTTTCTTCTGCAATTTTGAATTATGAGATAAATGTTCAAACCGTACTGCATTCTTAAGCGATAAATGATTTACCAAACTTGGTTGAAAGAAACCCGGACCAAGAGAACAATCTATCGATTTTATACAGGGTACATTGTAAATGGTTTGTGTGATCTAATATAATTAAGTCGTATGATTTTAGTTAATGGGGAACATCCCCATTTTTTGCATAAAATGTGCCCTGCTTTTATTTGATGGCAATGACACTTTTTTGGAAAGACAAATCCGCTTTTCCACATCAACGTTAAAAAAAATCTAAACTTAATATTTCACATAAAATAGAAAATAACCTAGCGGATAATAACAGTTGTATACATCGTATGAATTATAAATGGGACCTGTATCGACAGGTACATGCACTCGTCACAGGAGCACTGTAAGGATGTGGTACGTGTCGGTCAGGCGAGCGACGGAGGCTGGAACATGTGTAATGCTACAGAATATCGTCCTTCACAACCCTGTCTGGTCTATTCCTTCGGGTAGGTAGTTCGTAGGTGGAAAATATCGGCACTCAAGATGGAAAATATCCGCACTTAACATTTGAAACTTTCCGAACTGAATATGGAAATTATACGCATTTAAGATGGAAAATATTTGCACTCGAGATGCAGAATATTTGCAATCAAAATGAATACAAGGAGAAATGTTCAAAGAAACACGTTGATTGCAATGGCTACACTTTAAACTCAAATATCATTATGTATTGGGATATTATAGATACTTTCTTTGTAAAATTATATTATATAACGACTCATTCAGTAGTATATGCTTTATCACTCACAACTGGTTTGTTCGGTCCTCAGACTTTATGAATACTGTGTCTATATATAGAACAAAGCTTTTTATACATCTCTGTTTTTAGTATAAACAATGACTGGGGATTTGATGACGACATTTCTACCAATTACGGTTGCGAGGTTCACGCGTTTGATCCAAGGTTAGTATCTCGGGTGAGAGTTACGAAAATGGTCCATCAAACCGTCATTTGATACTTTCATCGGAAATTGGATGATGCATTTTATTTTATTTATTGTTATATTAAAGGCATTGTTAATAATGAAGTTAACAACTGCGCACTCGTTAAGGATATGGAAATATTAACCTCATTTACAAAATATATTTGGTATTACTAAGGATACTATACACATATAAGTTAATTTTCCCTAACTGGGATTTTATGGAGTACCTTTTTATGGAGTAACTTTTTCTGGAGTAGATATGTTGCAATTATACCCGGTTTTTGAACCCCTAACCTCTTGGCTACAGAGCATGGAACTTATCCACTTTGCTACCTGTCATGACGTTTGTTTTGCTGATTAGTTTCTTCAAAAATACTGGGTTTAATTGCAAAATCTCTACTCCAGAAAAAGGTCCGCAATCTAAATATGAAATCGTATAAATGAAAAAAGAAATTATAGCTACCACGCTTGTATACAGAAAAAAAAATGATTGGACTCTTTTTCCTTAAATAATGTTTTGGATTATTTTCAAAATTGAAATTAAAAGAATTAGGATATATAATGCGGTAGTTGTATTGTTTTCGACTATACCAGGAGTTTTAACGAACTGTTTGTTTACCTAGATTATCAGTGAAGGTCGGTGCTCTTAATTACCTCAAAAGAGTGCCTCGTTTTGTTTTCACTATCCCATTTTTCGTTCTAAAAACACGGCATTACTTGGATTTTAGCTAGATAATCATAGCGGTTCTCGTCGTTGCAGCAAAATACGCTTACCCTGCTGGAACACCAGGTCTCATTATCCATGCACTTTTTTCAATGGTCTCCATGTAATTTTGTCCGCTGTTCATTTATTTTACCTTGGTTTCATCAATTTTGAGTTCGAATTAACAGTTTTATTAACACTTCCGTTTTTATTATTACATTGCAGCATGGGATTTAATGACCATAAAAGATCGAGCAAAATCACCTTCCACAATCTGGGATTGTCAGATAAGAATGGAATAATGAATGGAAATTGGAAGTGCATGAACTTACAAACCATCATACAGTCTCTTGGCCATGAAGGGGTAAGATATGTCAGCTAAGGTAGTGAATGTGTGTATTTGTACAAAAGTCTGTTGGAACGTTTACTATGGTTAAAAAATCATAATAATGCAAGAATTCTGAATCTTCAAGTTGCTGTTTTTCTCCTTATCAATATGTTAAAGTCTTGAAATTATAATGGATCAAAAGGTACTCGTATACACTTCTATTCAGATTTCCTGGTTTAGTTCTGTATAAAAGGTCTTCTTAATACAAACCTTTTAGGGACTATCGACTATCAGAATATATCGTAGCTATACTTACATCGTAGACATACACTTATATGTTCGCCTATTACTTCAGGATTCCTTCTGTGTTTCGACAAATGTATCCAGTATCATCTATTCTCGTATTATCAGAGATTTTCTTTTTTATAGAAGGGCGACTATTTTGCAGCATATTTTGATATAGATCACGACAAATACCAATATGTAATACACTGGGGATGGAATCGTGATAATAATGATTAAATTCTTGGGTACGTGTTACAGAAACAGTGCCGACGAAATTTGACGGACAGTGCCAACGTTATTTGATTGCCTTCATGAACCATCTGTTGACGACTGTAGTAATGTATTTGCTATATTTCTTTGTATATTCGCTATACAAAGAAACAATGGCTTTACTTTTAACTGTTATTTATCTTACCTCCAGAGAATCATCGACATAGTGAAGATGGACATAGAGGGAAGTGAGTGGCCTGCCATGGACAGTTTCATACCATCAGGAGTCCTGAAAAATGTTAGGCAATTGTATTTTGAGTTTCACGGAAGCATCGGACCAACTGCGGAGTTCCGAAATAGAATGATTAATATTGGAAGACTCTATGACAATGGATTTCGTTTATTTTGGGGGCACCCGAACCAAGTCCAGGTCAATCTAGGAATGTATAACGCAACTGGACGTGAAGTAACAGCCTGTTATGAGGAATATTATGTTAATGTTAAATTAAAACGTTTTGTGTAGAGGACATTTTTGTCACTTCATTGTTAATCGCGTTTGGGGAATATTTCACCATCAGTTCTAAAACATCGAGGAATATATCATTTAATACATTTCCAAAGGACACACCTGTTCTCTAACCAACCGTATAATCATGTATAACCATGTGACGTTACCAAAGACAATTCTGTTCTGTAGTCAACAGGTCGTGTCGTCATGTTTCGTCATATTCACCAACTCATGTGTCTGTTGATCTTATTGGTCGTTTTACTGTAAAATATCCTCATTTCACTGTCAAACGTTATAATTCAATAAATAATTGACTTTGAGGATGTTGATATTATGGTTTATCAACCCGTCCGGAACAATATCCACTGGGCACGAATTCAACACAGAAACGTGAATCAGTTAAAGCTGTTTTCAAAATATGTGTCCCAAGATTAATAAACTGAAGATTTAGTTTGTGTTGAATTCATCTGACGGATTGATCAAAAGATAAACTTTGGTAGAACACGAACTGATCAGTTTAATTTGCCACTTTTCATGTAAATACACATAATCCGTTGAGTTCATTTTACATTCTTGTTTCATTTCATTGTTGTCATCTGCTATGGCGTCAAAAACCAGATTAAGGAACGGAAATTTCGGACTCGTTTTCAGAGGCACAGCAAGTAATTAGACCTTACAGGAAATAGCGTTTGCCACAACTGAATTCCAAAAGTAGTAAATAGACTTAGGCCATAGTATAAATTACTGTGTTGCCCATTTTATTGGCTTATTCCGTACATTTCAATGTCGAAAATAAAAAAGGAGGAATTCATTCAAAAGAATCCTCGATAATAATCTGCCAAGGTTTACTGGTGTACGGTCCTATAAAACAATAAACATGTGGTTCTCATATTGTATTGTCTGGTCAGGTATGGTGATCAGGCGATAACGGATCAGGCACGCTACCTACCCGGAAAATGTGTCCTACCTATCTCACGTAGAAAGTTTCCACGAGTATATACATGCATATATAATGTAGCAGTATTGGTAAAACGGATTAATTATTGATACATTTTCTTTTTAGTTTCAAATTGTTTCATGATAAACTAGCAATGCGTCATTACAGATAGTATGGAATTTCTTAGCTATGCATACAACAGACACATTCCGTTAGACAGCTATACCATTCATATATTGACTGTCTTTTTGCGGAGATGATGCAGAGAATGGATGCCACTGTGGATGTTACTTCCTCGGCATCATCTGTAAAAAAAAGTATCACAAGGCTTTCCTCAATTCCTTCTGATATCAGAATCCCACGACCTCTCAATACTGCTGTTACCAGCTCTCTCGACATAAATAAAGACAACTCTTATACAACTTTGTACGTGTTATTGAGAGACGAAATCTTATTTCTAGTGTTTCGAACTGGAATTGTCCCTTTTCAATTAAAACAAGCCTTAACATGTAAATAATAGAACTAGCAAATCCGTCTGTATTTTGAGACGTACTTTTTACTCATTTGCAGTTTAGTAATATATATTCAGCTTTAATTCATAACATTCTGTACATCTTCACAATGTGCATTGAAACAGATGGGAAAATGTTTGGTATCTAATATCACAACACCATATTGTAGTCAAGGTACGTATCGTATTACTGAAATGATTATTCAATGTAAGTACAGATATCAACCGTTGGCTCATCATAAATTGTCAAACAAACTATTGATGATAAAATATCATGTTACTAGTATGTAACTGTAGACTCTTATCAGCCAGAGTCTTCAATAAATGCTGCTGATCAACATAGCATATAGAGGACAACTTAAAGTCTTGTGTTGCTCTAGGCTCGTAAATTCCGCCATGGGATCCTCACTTCGTCTGACCTGTAGGGCATCCACCTCCTCTGTGAGAATCTTCCAGGAGTTTGTTCTCTCGGTATTTGTCAAATGATGATAGTGATAGCCCCTGTCACAATTCCCAGCCTGTCTGTAGCCTTGCTACTGGTCAAACTGCTATAGTGTTTAATGTACACCTTGGTTCCATCCTCTCTCTTAGTTATGAAAAAAAGCGAAGCTTGCGACATCTAGAAATATATTAGCTTAAAACGAAACAATGAGCCCCGCGTAGTTAAACTGAAAGTTCAACTGCCCAAACACCCTTTTGAAAAACAGAAATATGTTTTTGAAGAAGATATTGTATCTGTTATGTTAATACAAAAAAAAAGAAGGTTTTCCGCCTAACTGTAAGAATAGCACAAGTGTCGACAATGGACGAAGACTACCGATCACACAGTTTACCTGAAGACTACCGATCACACAGTTTATCGCGATACATTGTTCTAATGAAAACACTCCCTTTCACTTAACGGGTCTATGTCTACTGTAGTAATGAGTATATATGGCTCAACCTGAGACCTGTAACATAAGTACCATATAAAGCCGCAACCGCACCCGCCAGAACTGCCGCGGGTTATACATCGGAACCAAAACCAAAAAGAGTTCTGTAATGATTTTTCTTTTTCAAACAATTCAATTAGTTTATTCTGTAAGCCTTACGACTTATAAGATACAAAACACAATATTAATTATAATACATATTAATAGGTTAAGCAGAGTAATGATGTACAGGAGAGTGATAATTGTATGTAATCGTATCAAATACACACACACACACAAGAATGTGATAATACTAAAATGAATGAGAGCGCTTCTTAAAAGCAAATCTTATATATTTATCAAGATTACACAAATCTTTTACATTATTAACACTGAGCAATTGAACAAGTTAAAATACACTGGGACGACTAAAATAATATGGCTTCAACAGACGATAAACAATTAACACTAACATGATGCTTTATACAGACATAGCTCGTCAACACATGAAATAAGCATAGGACAGATTAACAAAGGATGTATGCCAATTTGGGCCTTCTGGTGGCTGTAACCGATCAGTTTCATTTTTGTATATATCATACATGTACCTTGGGGTTATGCTATCATGATACGACATGATTAATCTTGTAGACCATTCTGTGATATAAGAGGGTAAAGTTGGGGAGATGTTAGATATTAGGGGGGTAAAGTTGGGGAGATGTAGATATTAGGGGGGTAAAGTTGGGGAGATGTAGATATAAGGGGGTAAAGTTGGGGAGATGTAGATATTAGGGGGGTAAAAGTTGGGGAGATTTAGATTTTAGGGGGTAAAGTTGGGGAGATTTAGATATTAGGGGGTAAAGTTGGGGAGATTTAGATATTAGGGGGGTAAAAGTTGGGGAGATTTAGATATTAGGGGGGTAAAGTTGGGGAGATTTAGATATTAGGGGGGTAAAAGTTGGGGAGATTTAGATATTAGGGGGTAAAGTTGGGGAGATGTAGATATTATGGGGGTAAAGTGGGGGAGATTTAGATATTAGGGGGGTAAAAGTTGGGGAGATGTAGATATAAGGGGGTAAAGTTGGGGAGATGTAGATATTAGGGGGGTAAAGTTGGGGAGATTTAGATATTAGGGGGGTAAAAGTTGGGGAGATTTAGATATTAGGGGGTAAAGTTGGGGAGATGTAGATATTATGGGGGTAAAGTGGGGGAGATTTAGATATTAGGGGGGTAAAAGTTGGGGAGATGTAGATATAAGGGGGTAAAGTTGGGGAGATGTAGATATTAGGGGGGTAAAGTTGGGGAGATTTAGATATTAGGGGGGTAAAAGTTGGGGAGATGTAGATATAAGGGGGTAAAGTTGGGGAGATGTAGATATTAGGGGGGTAAAGTTGGGGAGATTTAGATATTAGGGGGGTAAAAGTTGGGGAGATGTAGATATAAGGGGGTAAAGTTGGGGAGATGTAGATATTAGGGGGGTAAAGTTGGGGAGATTTAGATATTAGGGGGTAAAGTTGGGGAGATGTAGATATAAGGGGGTAAATTTGGGGAGATGTAGATATAAGGGGGTAAATTTGGGGAGATGTAGATATTAGGGGGGTAAAGTTGGGGAGATGTAGATATTAGGGGGGTAAAGTTGGGGACCACAATTACAAATGCTCTCTTTTTGACAAAACTGCATTTACCAAAATGCATTTATAAATATGTCAGCTAAAATTCAATAAATAGGGGTCGAGAAGAGCAGGGAGGGGGTGACTTTCTTCACACTTTTTTAACACTTTTATTCATATATACATGTAATTACTATGTGTGTTGGAACAAAACTGTTATCTTCTATTTAGCCATGCATCCGACTCTGAGAGATATTAGACCAGAATAAAAACAAATGTATATAAATACTCACTTTTTGATACATGTGTAAATATATCAGTCATTGCGTGGATTTTGTGCCAAAAATATATATACTATGAACAAGAGTTTTAAAAAAAGGAGATAAAGGAAACAGTCTTCGAAATCTGATGAATATATTCCATTCATGATTTTTTGTCTCAAAATACAATATCAAAAAAAAGCTTTGATATACAACACTAAGTATAATATACCACACTCAAAGCTATAGTATACCACACTAAGAATAATATACCACACTCATTATAATATACCACACTCAGTATAATAGACCACACTAAGTATTATATACCACACTCTGAGCTATAATATACCACACTAAGTATAATATACCACACTCAGTATAATATATCACACTCTGAGCTATAATATACCATACTAACTATAATATACAACACTCAGTATAATATATTACAGTCAGTATAATATAACACACTCAGTATAATAGACCACCCTAAATATAATATACCACACTCAAAGCTATGATATACCACACTCAGTATAATACACCACACTCTGAGCTATAATATACCACACTAAGTATAATATACCACACTAAGTATAATAGACCACACTAAATATAATATACCACACTTAGTATAATATACCACAGTCAGTATAATATAACACACTCTGAGCTATAATATACCACACTAAGTATAATATACCACACTCAGTATAATAGACCACACTCAGAGCTATAATATACCACACTAAGTATAATAGACCACACTAAGTATAATAGACCACACGAAGTATAATAGACCACAGGAAGTATAATAGACCACATTCAGAGCTATAATATACCACACTAAGTATAATAGATTACAGTCAGTATAATATAACACACTTAGTATAATATACCACACTCAGTATAATATACCACAGTCAGTATAATATACCACACTCTGAGCTATAATATACCACACTCAGTATAATATACCAAACTCAGTATAATATACCACACTTAGTATAATATACCACACTCGTAGCTAAAACACGTTGCTCACAGTAAAAGCATACTGCTGAAAGTTATAAAATATCACTAAGTATAATATATCACTCTCAGTATAATATATCACTCTAAGTATAATAGACCACACTAAGTATAATATATCACTCTAAGTATAATAGACCACACTAAGTATAATATATCACTCTCAGCTATATTTTTTCTCGTAGC